ACCTTTGCACAGATCTTTGGATAGCTTGCATATGTCATAGAGCAGACAGCACAGATAAGCTTTCTCATGGCTGTCTCTAAGAATCAGTCATCATTTCATACTGTACCTTAAAGTACAATAATGAAGGGCCCCCAACAACAGCATTTTCTGTGGCAGCAATTACTGCATGAGGAGGGGAGGAAAGGAAACAAAGAAGGAAGGACAAGTATGTTTGGCATAAAATAGTATAGGGGTACCACCTTTGATTTTATGAAAGTTACTTAACAGCCTTTCCCTAAGCATAAAGAATTGGAAAAGTTGCTTCTTCCGTAACTACACCTGTCAGCCTCTCCTCATTTAGCATGGCTAGTAGCTATGCTGACAGGGAATTTTGGGAGTAGTTTAAAAAAAACCTTTTCCAAGAGCTATTCATAAGTTCACATGAGGGTCTACTCTCGAATAATTGGGCATTGGCATGCAAGCTGGGTTTAAGCCTTTGGACTGTAGCTGTGTTTTCTTACGAAAACTGCTAGAATTTTTAAAGAAGCCAATGAATGCCCATATTAGTGTTGGGCAATCCCTGCTGTGTGTTGAAATATTGTTATTTTTGTTTTTTTTTAACTTTATGTGAAGAAGAGCAAGATATGCTGCATTTTTTTTGACCCTGCTATTCTTGTTGCCCCTTTGAAGTAGGATCTTTCTGTAGCACTTAGAAAGTCACCTTTTATTTTTAATTTACTCACTAGCACCAAATCAACCCCTTCATCTTAAAAAAAAAACACACGTTTATTGCAAGGCTTTGTACAAGCTTGATTTGCTTTCCCAAGGCTATCTTGTGTTAGCCCCACTATGACAAGCAGTTAAGATAAAAGGTGTATTAAATCTTAATTGAAAGTTTGGCTCTGTGAAGAGTTCTGGCTGCATGTAAGCAGCTGTAAACTCAAAAGTCTATTTGAGGGACCCAGTCAAATTGCCACTCCACAAAGACATATTACAGAGAAAGTGATTCATCCAGCAGCCACCCTCTTGTTGCTGAAGCAACCGTGTCTTTTAACGAGAACTGATCCGGCATACCGCTTGGAAGGAAATGGCTGTGTCCACAGGTCGTAAGTGCTTTTTGTACCATGAATCTACATGGTCAGGTGATGTCATGTTTTCAATGATCGTGGATAGTTTATAGTTCTTGGTCTTATTTTTTTCTGGCCACAGTTAGGCTAAGCCAGGGGTCAGGGAACGTTTTTACCTTTTACCCCCCCCCCAAAAAAATTATTTACGTTGACATTATCCCCCCTTGGCTCCTGCCATCCACGGCTGACCCCCGCCCCTCCTGCGCTCGCCCGGGACCTGTGGCCACCGTCCAGGCAGCCAGTCTGGAGCTGCCACACCACTGGGAAAGCGTGTCCTTGGAGAGGGGAGGCGGGCACTGCAGTGCCGGCAGGTCCACTGGCCATGAGCTCAGGGAAGGAAGGTTGGGAAGGGGGCCTCCTTGCCAGTGCACCGGGCAGGTGGGCGCAGGCAGGAAGGAGAGCCCCAGCCAGGGCTCCGCCGGGCAAAGAGTCCAGCTGTGCAGTTCCTCGCCAGGGCTCGCTCTCCCCGCGACGGAATGCCCGCCTACACACAGCATCGTCGGAAATAAAAAT